CTTTTTAGATAAGTTTTAGTGTAAGGTTTCACGCCGCTCGCAACTGCACAAGTGAAGAAGTGGCCAGGCTATGATGAATGGGCCGGCCCGGGCCAGCTGACAGGTGAGCTCCGGCGAGAGACGTAACCCGTGGGCCGGCGTACACCTCTGTACCCTGGGGCTGGGCAACCAGTCGCTTTCGCAAAATCCGGATAATATCAAAGATCGCGCATAACAAGATCGTTCACTCCTCTCTTTGAGCAAATTAAACAAAAGTCTCCTCTGAATCCGATAGCGCCCTCTTCGAAAAAGCGCGGACTTTGCGATCAGAGTTACACTACTTGTGGGAAAAACAATAAAAGCGAAAGTAACAAACTGTGTTATTCTTGCAACAATCTGTGCTATTCCTGTAACAAACTGTGCTATTCCTATTTTTCTTCTGAAGAAACGAAAGAGAGCTTCAAAGCAAAGACTGCAGCGCCATCTGAACCAATGCACGGACTTCCGCGGACACTTTTTTTGGCGGAGTTAACTACTTCGTTATGTACGATATTTGATAATAATGTTAGTGCACCTCTTCGGCAAAGAATATGATGTTATGAACCGCTTTGGCAAATGGGTTAGAACCACTTCAACAAACGGGTTAGAACCACTTCATCAAATTATGGGTGCACTCACTTCGGCAAACGGGGGCAGGAAAGAAGGTTAAAAAGAGTCTGAATTCGGACAAAATGTTTCGTTGGTAATTATCCGGTTATCCGGATTTTGCCCACCTCTACTGTACCCCGAACCCGCCCAAGCAGTTCACGGACAGCATCCTGGCTCCACTATTTCATCAGCTGCACTTCACTTACACGTCAACCAAACCTTCCCTTTTCAAAGGGGGAAAAAGTAAGAAACAGAACAATTTTTTAAAAATAACGAAAAACAAAACAAAAACAACAGCAGCTATAACAAACAAACATTGTGTGTGTGTGTGTGTGTGTGTGTGTGTGTGTGTGTGTGTGTGTGTGTGTTTGCTTGTGAGCTAATAGAAGGATTAAAGCAGACACGCAAATAGAAGTACAAACAGACGGACAGACAGACAGACCAACCGACCGACAGACAGAGACACAGTCAGACACACCCACCTACCTACCTACAGACAGACAGACAGACAGACAGACAGACAGACAGACAGACAGACAGACAGACAGACAGACAGACATGTTCACGGACGTTATGTAGTTGCGTCACGTGACGGCCCCGCGGTCTCCGCCCGTATATATCCCCGGACTTCAAAGTGTTCACGGGTCATTCATCATCCTCATACTTTGCTCTTTCTCAACGTCCTGCGCAGCAACTTAAGGTGGTGGT